AAACCACCACACACCAGCTTCTCTCTGTTTTTTATTCTTCTCCGGTCACCTCTCTGTCAGGGGACGGTATACCCAGTCCTTGTCCTTGTTCGCCCCTTCGGCAGCGTTGGATCTGGTGGCCATGGGGTAACAGTGGGCCAGAGACTCCACCTCCTGGGTCAGCTCCCGAAGCCGCCGCCTCACGTCGAGGGCATCGTACACTACGTGGCGTGAGGGGTGCCTCTGGGGGATATCTGGGACAATCGCTGGACCCTTGGGTGCTGGGGGGTCAGGCGAGCACGGCTCCTGCCCCCACTCAGCTCCCGCCCGCCCTCCGTTGTTCTTGTGGCACTGTGGGCTGGGGGGTGGGGGGTTCACAGGGTACACATAGGCCTCTAGGCTCATCTCCGACCGCATCTCTCTTTTGAGGGGTCTTCTCTCTACGACCTCCTGGAAGCGAATGCCCTGGGTGGGCAGCCCCGCGGTGTCCTGGGCCCAGGGATCCCAGTACCCCTGGGTGGATTGGAAGCCGTCCCAGTCCGAGGGGTGATCCCAGTTGTGGGAGCAGATCGCCCTGTGCCGATGAGGGTGCTTCTCCTCGTCGTCGGTGTCGGGGGCCCAGGCTACTGGGTGGTGGGCACGGCGTGCTGACCAGCCTCGATGGCGCTGGCGGCGAGTGGGTCGGGGGGTCACGGTCATTTTCACGGGGTCCATGGTGCATCGAAGGTGGACTGCAGGGGGGCTCGGCTTTGAGTGCTGGGTCTTCTTTCTAGGTGAGGATGACTTGGACGCTTCTGTGGACAGGGAGAGGGGAGAGGCTGTGGGGGACACGGGCGCCGACGGGGCAGAGAGCAGGGTTCGGGGAGAGAAGCTGCACAGCTGTGGCATGTGAGAGGGGAGACTGGGAGGGGAAGGGGCCAGCTGGGGGTCAAGGGCAAGAACACTGGGTATCTGCCCCTCCTCTGCCCTAACCTCCCGGGCTCAGCTTACCTTTCTCAGAAACAATTCTGCAGAACATTTCGTGTAAGAAGACACGGAGTCTGCGCCAGAGCTGGGGGAAAGGCACGGTGACCCCAGGTAGGCCCTGGCCACCAGACCTGCCCCCCGCCAGCCTGCCGGCACCCTCCCACTCAGCCCTGCCCTCACCAGCGTCACCAAGTTGATGCCAATGTTCATGCAGATGATGAGCCCCAGCAGCAACAGGATCGAGTTGCCCAGGTCCTGGCAGCTGTTGGTGTTGGGGCTGTGATATGAGGCGCACCTGGGCCATGGCTGCTCAGCCACAGCCATGGGGGTCCCTAGGACCACCGGGGCCCCTAGACCCCCAACCCACTGTGCCACAGTCCCTAGCAGCCCACCGGCCTGACCCAGAGGCTCCTGGGGGCAGGCGGGTCACAATGATGCCGGGGCTCCTCCTCACAATGTGCCAAGAGGGAGAGCCCTGGCCTGGGGTTCACCCTCTGGCCTGGGCCCACACCGTGGAAGAAACTGCACCTTGTATGCCCCCCTGTGGCCAGCTACCTGGACCAGCTGGCGAGGCCCTCCAGCCTGCCTAGTGTCTGCGCCCATCAGCCCATTTGGTCCTTTTCTACACCAGGCTCAGTCCTCTGCACAGACACGGGTCCTAATCTTTTTCTTTTTTCTTTTCTTTTTTTTTCAAAGAATCCTCATCTGAGGATATGTTGAGAGAGAGAGAAAGAAACATCAATCGGTTGTCCTCTGTACACACCCAGATCAGGGATCAAACCCATCACCTGGGTATGTGACCAGGAATCGAACCCGAAAGCTTTTGGTGTATGGGACAATGCTCCAACTAACTGAGCCACCGGGCCGGGGTGGGTCCTAATCTTATCTCCCTAAATAGCCCCATTACCATGGCAACCTTACTCAGCACCCACTCCCCTTCAGTGACGGGGCCTCAGAGCTATTACTGAAAAGGGCTGTGGCTACAGACCTCCCTCATCAGCCGTCTTTGGTGTATGGCTTGTTTCTTCAAAACCCCCTGCCCCCACCCCCTAACATCACAGCAGGCACAAACCAACAGTTAAACTTTATATTTACAATATTCTCTTCATCTTTTGCCAGGTTTAAAAATGTGTACAGAGCTGCGAAGGGCAGGGACATGGGGTTGTCAGGGAACTGTTCTGGGGAGAGGGATTGGGCATTGGAGTCCGTGGCTGAATCATGGGGTCCCCCAGCCCCTCTCCCATGCCCCAATTTGTGAGACATCTGTCTGTAGGGTTCAGGGCCCAGGGCCCTGGCATTTAGAGGGCATGGCTGTTTGGAAAGGAACTAGACCAGGCAGGAGAGGGGTGGGAAAAGAAGTTCCCATGGGTGGAAGTGGGAGGAGGGACGGTCAAGGGGCAAAGTTCTGGGGAACCAAGACCAGGGATTCCGGATCCGATGTCAGCGGAAGACAGCACCCCAGCCCCAACTCAAGTTTGGCACTAACCCACAACACGCCAGTGGACAAGGATTCTCTCCTCCACTGGTGCCCTTAGAACCCTCCCGGTGAGGCTCCTTCCCCTGTAGGCTCAGGTCCCCTCTGGGCGGTCACCTTACACATCCTTTCACATTCTTCCGGCCGGTGTCTGACCAAGACCTGGCCCCATTGCCCCCTCCACCTGCTTCTCAGCGAGCTGACCTCATTCTCTCCCCAACCATGAAGCCTTCCCCCCTGGCTCTCTTCCCCTCCCCCTCCACGTCCCCTTTCCTTCAGCCCTGGCAGCTGAGGGCAGGTCACAGACAGGGAATGGGCAGCTGAGGGGAGGGGCTGGTCTGACACAGACACAGGGATGGCTCCTAACAGGGAGAAAGAGGGAAAAGGGAACGGAGGCACAGGGGGATGAGGAGACAAGAGAGACACAGGTAGGACCCCTATAGCTGCCACTTCCCCCTCCTGTATCCCACCTGCTCCCACATCTGCCTTCTCTGGCCCAGGACTGGGGAGCTCTGGGCAAACCCACCGACCCAGTTTGGCACAGATGAGTAATGGTCTGAGGACTGAGGGAAAGGCTGTCCTCAGACCCCAGTGAGGGCTTTGGTCAAACATGCATGGCCTCTACCGGTGCCAGGTCCCACGCCCCTGACCCCCAACTCCGCATCTCTGGGGGAGGGAGGAGCAGAGCTCTCCCCTGGGCGTCTATGCACCCCCCTCCGCTTCTGCCAGTTGTGAAGTCTGTTCCCACCTGCTGTGTGAGGAGGAACTCGGTGCTGGGCCTGCGGCCTGGGGGATGCAGGGAGGTACTGGAGAGAAGGGACCGTCTGCATGGGAAAACACACATCCACATGCAAGAACATGTTTCCACTCAGAGTGTGCCCTGGACCAATGGGACAAGCTCCGGGCGGACAGGCTGCCGGGTCTCCCGCCCCTGCAGGGGCTGTCGGCTATGGAAGGCGAGGCCTACCCAGGAGGCCATGCTTCGCTGACTGGTGCCACGGGCGGGAAAACATGCTTCCCCGGGCGGAGGGGTGCGGCGTGGGAAGGGGGCTGGTCCTCGCTGCTTCCCAGAACCACCCTGTGTTATCCTGTGGCCAAGGGTCGCTGTACATGAGCACACCACTTCCAGGGTCTCCACGGGGTGGGGGGCGGAGAGAGGAGGCGGGAGAAGGCATGAGGGAGTATGATTCTGGGGTACAAATCCCCGCAGAAACTCTTTGAGAGGGCCAACATGTGTCCAGGGCGGCAAAAAAAACCTCACCCTGCACATGGGAAAACACCCCCGTGAGAAAGCACACCTCCGCGTGGGACACCCCCCGCGCTTCCACACACCGAAGGCTGGGGTCCCGGTGGAGGGGACAGAGCACCCCCCAGTTGTTCAAAGGCCCAGGTCCAGAGAAAAGGGGCCTCTGTGCATGGGGACACACGCATCCTGGTGAGGAGACCCACGGCCACCTCGTGTCCCTCCACGTGGGACAAGAAAAGCCTGTGGCAGGTCCTCCTCCCTGCCTTCCGGGTGGCACTTCCTGCCGATGGGAGGGCTGGGGAGGAGGCCCCCCCCAAGCTGTCCCCTATACCCGGGTAGTGGAGTGGGGGTGGGGTAGAGTGTTGTTGTGGCTGGTAGCGGTGGGAGGAGGTGGGGG